ACTGATGTTTGGGTAATTCCTTGACTTGGATAATAACGTTTTATAACCGTCTTTTTCCTTATCTGATTGAACTGTTTGAGGACCTATATGGCAATTTTTAACGCCTACACCTCAGCCATCAACGGATTTGTAAGCCTTTACCGAGACTCCGTTTGAGTCGGGCTAGCTACATGGATTGTCTAAAGTCCTGTTCCACATTGTAATGTCGTACTATAGAGAATGAACCTCATTTAGACTTTGATGCTATGATTTGTGATATATAGCACTTTATCAGTTATTTCTCTCTTGCTGTTTACTTTAAAATACTGAAAGAAAGTTGGTAGCGGCCAGAGGTGTTAATTAATATTAACTTGCGCATGAATTTTTACCTTAGAGTGAAATTCCAGGAATTTTCTTTATTATCATAGGGATAATTCCAGAAAATATTTAATCCGCTGGGGCGATTTTATAATAAAAAACTTGCTATTCTTGTTGAAAACGGAAGTAACAAGTTCATTGGGGGCGTTTGATTGTTTAGAGATGTGATGTATAACCTAATCAGTATTTTTATTGGACCTATCGCTCTATTGACGAAGAGTCATTAAGTGAAATATTACGATCGGAGCCAACTATTGAAGGACTATCCGCTCTGTTGACGAGAGTCTAAGTGAAAAGGTGTCTTTGCGATCATGGGAGCAACTTTGAGGACCTATCGCTCTTTGACGAGACGGTCGCATAAGTAGACAGAGTGTTACGCATCAGAGCAACTTTTGAGACACCTATCGCTCTTATTTGATGAGAGTCGATAATTAATTTTAGTCAGAGGTGTTTCATATTAACGTGACAAGAATTTGTTACGAGTCGGAGCAACTTGAGGACCTATCGGCTCTAATTGGAGAGAGTCCGGTGTCTTGATAAGCTTTGATTTTTGTCAGAGTGTGTATGATATTAACGCTGAATGAATTTGTGGAATTTGTTTGCGATCGGGCAACTTTGAGGACCTATCGCTCTATTGGAGAGAGTCGCATAAGTTAATTTTCGTCAGAGGTATGTGATATTAACGTGACACGAGCGATGTTGGCGATCGGAACAAACTTTGAGGACTATCGCTCTATTGACAAGAGTCGATAATGTGGGATTTTGTCAGAAGTGTTTGATTATTAGCGTGACAAGAGATGCTTACGATGCAGAGCAACTTTAAGGACTATCGCTCTTATTGACGAGATCGATAAGTTAATTTTGTTCAGAGGTGTTTGATATTAACGTGGACAAGAGGATGTTGGCGATCGCTTTGTTGAAAAAGTAAACTTTATGCCTATCATCCTATTGAAAAGGATTTGATAAGTGGATTGTCCAGAGGTTTGGTGCTTACATGACGGGATTTGTTGTGATCCGGAGGCAACTTTATAGACTTATCATTCTAATTGACGAGGATTGGATAGTGGGTATTTGTCAGAGGGCTTTAGTGTATAACGTGACAGATTTGTTTGTATTGGAGCAACTTTGTGGACTTATCATCCTATTGACGAGGATTGATAAGTGGGTTTTAATCAGAGGTTTAGTGTTAACGTGACAGGAATTTGTGTTGCGATTGGAGCAACTTTGTGGACATTATCATCCTATTGATGAGGGTAATTGATAAGTGGCGTTTTGTCAGAGGTTTGAGTCGTTTAACGTGATAGGATTTGTGTACTTTGTGTTTGCAACAAAGATTTTGGGGACTACGCGTCTCGCTGTGGGAGAATTGCTAAGGAGCTTTATATTTAGAAGTGATGACATTTTAACACTTTGTGATTTAAATAGATTTTTGAAGTTATCTTAGTGTCTTGCCCTGTCGGGAAGATTGTTGATTTGAATAATTTCGAGGCGACCTATCATCCTATTGATAATGATTGATAAGTTGCATTGTCCAGAGGTGTATTGTTAACGCTAACACAATTGGGAGTGATGCAAGCTGTATTCATTGACTCTGTGGGGGGTGATGTTGATCGTCAGAAGTGTAAGTGTTATCTCGACGATGTTGAAGATTCGTTACTCTTAATCCAAGTGGATCTGCTCAGTAACCAACCCCCCAGTCTTGATTAAGAGCTAACAGCTCGGGAATAAAAAGAGGTTAGACAGGCAATCACTGGGGCACTATCCATAAAGTCGGAATAAAGGCAATACCTGAATAGGCCATTATCTTGATGAGTTTGACTTCAGAGGTAGCTGTGATAGTTTTGTGGACCTGTCATCCTATTGAAGAAGATTGGCAAGTGATGGACTATCAGAGGTAAACCTGTTACCGTGATCATTTTTTGTGGCCCGCCATCTATTGAAGAGGATGTGGCAGGGTGAGAATTTTGACGGGCGAATGGATATCAGACGGTAACTGTTAAACTTGATAGTTTTTGGTGGAAAAATCCGCCGTCGGCTATTTAAAGAGATGGCAGGGGCGAATTTGCGAGAAAATAGGACTATCAGAGGTGCATCCATTAAACGTGTAGTTTTGTGACCCGCCCCAACTTGACTAGTTTTTGACAGATTTTCGTGTCTCAGTTGACAGAGCGTATTCCTACTTTGAACATGAAAACTCAGAAATTTAATTAACTCATAAATCAATAAACCTATAAACCTAAACCAACCTCCAGTCTGCAACAACGTGCAGAGGAGAAAATGGTAGACACCTAGCATATCGCCTAGTGCCGCCACTAATCTAACGCAGTTATGACTTATCAGAGATAATTATTACACGTCGATAGTTTTGGTGGACCTACACATCATTACTGAAGAGGATGTTAGCATTTAGTGGTCGTAGTATCTTCAATTCTCTTCGACTGAGAAGATTAGGTCTCAGGCGGAGGGGGTTGCGTCCAGCAATTTGCTCAGCAGGTTGCACTCCTGCATTACTTTGTTCTTCAGCCTTGATTCTTCTGGTAATAATCTTTTGAGCCTGTTCACCTTGCAGAGATTTCAGTTTGTCATCCTCCACGAACGGGCATTTCGGCAACCCTCATTCTGGGCTAGAGGATCTCTCTTCT